TAAATCCTTCAAACATTTCTAAAATATATCGCTCCAAATACAAAATTTTATTTTTTTCAAATATAAACATTTCTAAGATCTACAGATAGATTGGGCCAGGGTCGCGCATTGCGCGACCAGACATCACTAGTATATTATATATATCAATTGTAATTTTATCAATTGTAATTAAAATTGTAATTTTATTACAATTGATATATATATATATATATTATTCCCTCCGTCCCAACAAGACAGTTATACTATAGAGCTTCTAGGTACACACTTGAAATTCGTATGCCCAAAAAGAGGGTAAAAAAAAAAACAAATTTTTCAAATTTTCAATTTCCTAAAATCTCTCCTAATTTTCAGTCATCATTAATCATATCTATCCAACTTCCTATTCCAATCCAAAGACGTCTCAAACTAAAAAATCTAGAAGACAATATATTCTCTGCAAGGATTTGGCATCAAAATCTCTCGTCGACGGTATTTTTGAAGATGAAATCCGATTGTGCATCAAATCCCGTAACTTTGGTTACAATATATGCTGCTGAATATGAGAATTACGGTAAGATTTAAGATTATTCATCTGTTTTGTGTTTTGTCCGGTTAATTTTGTTTGAAATTCTCAAAATCATTGATTAGTAATTTCGAATTGTCAATTCCAACCTATTCGATTAATTGCCAGAGGTTTATGGATTTAGATCTCTTGCGAAAAAAGAATAAAATTCAGATTTTGTGAATCACCGGAGATTTATGATTGGGTTTTAATCTCTTCAACAATTGATGTATTTTTTTGATTGGGTTATGTAGATATAAGATATGTGCATTCGATTATAGATTTTTGTTCATCAATTTTTAAGTTTACTTCATTGTTCTGTTATTAGTTTTGGAAAAGACTAATAAATCTAGATATTATTCATTAGTTCGTATTCGATATTCATCCTTGAAACTAGCAGATTCATCATAATAATTGTGTTATTAGCTAGATATTCATATTTAGTTTTTTGGTTAGGTTATGTATATCTAAGGTCTCTGCATTCAATTATAAATAGTTGGTCACCAATTTGTTAGATTTGTTCATCTATTGATTGTTGATTTTGGAAGGGTTCTAGATATGTTCATTATTCAGCGGTTACCCTGTCATTATTCATCGATAATATAGGGTTATTCATCATAATAATGGTGTTATGCGATTGTTATTCTTTTTTCTATTAATTGTTATTCATCTGAGTAGATAAATGGAACATGTATATTGTAGTCATATTCATCCATAATATTTAGTTATTCATCTATTTGTATGTTCAACGTATTGTTCAAATAACCTATGCATATATATAGATATAGTTATTCATCATTAAAACTATAAGTATTCCTCCTAACGAATTTATGATCCTAATACACTACATTTTCTGATTTTAATAAGTAAAACATGATAATGCATCATACATGTCAAGGTATTCATCATTGGTGAAATAGTTATTCATTAGTATATAATGGTTATTCATCATATTAACTTGACATGTTATATAGTTTTAATGGTTATTCATCATTTTAAAGATAATAATTCATCTTCAATAGCCTTTGTTATTGATGATTAACAGAATTTTGATTGAATGTGAAATCTCACATATTGTAATGTTGTTTTTGTTTGATCAGCGTAAAAAAAAAATGCTTATCAAAATGAACTCGATCGGTCGCAAATCAAATGTTTGGTAGAGTTGCTGATATCAAATAATCAACATAAACATATCGAGTATCGGCGGATCTTTCAAGACCTTATATGTTAAAAACAATGATTAGTTTTCCTGATCAATTTTGATATAGTATAATCATAATTAGAATTTTGTTAGCTTAGTTGCTGATATTATCTCATTGTAAAATATACTTTTATTAGTTTTCTTGATCAAAGTTATTGATTCTGTTTTGCATTATTCATCCACTACCAATAAATTATTCATTTATTAAAATACAATCATTCATCTTGCAAAAACTACATATATCCTTTATTTTAGTATAGTTATTCATCTAGGATGGGATCATTATTCATCAAGATTTGCATCGTTATTCATCTTTGTAAATATTGTTACTCATTCATAAATTTACTCGTACACATATCTAGTTTTACCAAAATAAAATCCATCATTTTAACAAAAAAAAATCTTATGAAATAAAATAATATAAAAGCTGATAGGATAAGTATTAAAAAAAATCAGTTTAAAATTAAACATGTGCAAAAAAAAAGGGGGATAAAATTTGGAGAATATAATGCGCGTGTAGCGTCTTAAAATTCGGACTAAAAGCTCCACTTGTGTAGAAGGAGAATGTATTATACATGCCCATGAGGTATATCTTGTAAAGTATACTTAGGTGCTTGTTATTATTTGCCCCCAACCAGATAGTACACATTGAGTTTTCAGATTTATAATTATTCCCTTGTACCGAAAAAATAGTCCAAGTTGAGTTTTAAATTTGTAAACTCAATGGGACTATTTTTTAGACAAATTTAAAAACTCAATGTGAACTATTTTTTTAGACATTGAAAGTATTAATTTACTCTGAATCTCTCGAATTAAGAAATTGTTGTATCCCTGAAATCTGCTCCAATTTAGTTGAAAAAAAAAATAACCAAAAGCGAATGAAAAATAAATGCTCGAATATACAAGAATGAAAAACAACTGAGCATGCCATGCATGCATGAAGGAAATTACGTTTTCTTCTTTCAAATGAAGCACGTACTTATCATTATATATATTAAAAGAAAGAAAGGTAATCGATACGTGTCGCTAATTGAGACCATCAAGTCTCACTTTCAACTTATTATCATTTTAGCCCTTAAAGTTCTATTTATGTGCTATTTAGTCTTCAAATTTATCGATTTTACATTTTCAAGGACGATTAATTGTGTCTAATCCCCAAAGTCCCCTTACCTATAAATAAGCCATAGACATCTAGACATAATTTGCGTATTTTTTAAATATATTTTTTTTATCTAAATATAATATTAGTTAGTGGTGACAATTTTTATTATACAACTTTTCAAAATTTTTGTTGTAATATTTTTGGTCAGATCTTACAAATATACATCTCATAAATAATATCAATACCTCTCATTTTGATCTAAAATTGATTAATCAAAATAATATTATGGTTTTAAGAAATATTAGTAACGAAATTATCTAATTAATCTTTTGAAAGATAAATTTTCAACATTGATAAACCCGCGCAAAGCGCGGGACACATACTAGTTAGAATAATAATAATAGATCCCCGTAATGGTACATCACATTTTGTCAAAATGTAATTTCCACCCTTCAAAGATAATAATCTTTTTAGTGTGCGATTATTATTGGATTATCTTTTTAGTGTGCTAAATTCTTTGCATTATTAATTTTTTGGATTCAGACTAATACAATAATGAAACAGTTTATGGTTTGATAAATATTGGATTGCACAAATTTATGGAGTTGTTATTTCGGACAAATAAAGTAAAAATGGAATGTGGCAAGTATTCTGTGGTGTATATGTCGAAAAATACTTTGCGAACAAATGCAGTAGGTAAGGATTATAAATTATAAAAAAAAGAAAAAGGAAAATAAGAACCCACCGAAGAAATTAGATGTGATGATCATCAAGTTTCTTCTTTGCTGTCAGATGCAAGATTTTAAGTAGTTGACCTCTTATGAATAACGTAATAAGTAATTCTTTCTAATTTGATTTGACTTTCATTTTCTTTATGAATATGTTACCCCCAAATTAGGCTTTCGTCCACTTGGGCAATTTTCAGTATTTTTAATATTAATAATTGGAATTAAGTAACTGAGGTAGTAGTTTTTTGTTGGTGGCCGACCACGGATTTGGAAAGTTTTGTAGTACATGTTTACTAAAAACAATACAAATGAAGCTTAATTTAATTTGTACATTGGCAGCAAAGTTAGCGAGTGGTAATGTTCATTTTTTTTTTACTTCCTTTAAATTTGTTCTTCGTCTGAAAAGAAAGATCTTATGTTAGATTTACATGTTTTGTTTTTGTCAATTAATAAATTAAGACCGGTTCTTTTATATTGTGAGTGCAAGTTTTGCTCGAATACCGATGCAACTTTTTTACTTAATCATCTATTTTAAATTTGCTCCTCAATCTTTACAACTGAGTAAAAGGAAATTCTCTCACCACATCAATTAATCGGGTTGCCTCCCAACTCCCAAGCCGAGTGCTTTCTCAGAATTTTAAAATTCTATTTGAAAATTGCATATATAAATTTATTTTTTCTTGACTTCTAACACAGCAAATCACAAGGGCAATCCGTGAAGCCGATAAAATTCTGGACATGTATTATATTCATAAGCGATGCATCTTGGAAAATATTTATTTACAAGTGATGCATCTTGTAATCGAGTGTATATTAACTGGATTTTATTGAAGTATTTCTTTTAAGAAAAATTAGTCTCAATTCTGATCTTTTTGGGTTTTATCCTCATTTAAATAGGTATTTCGAAAATGCTTTTACTAACCAATAAAATTTGCCACGTGTTAAAAATAACAACAGTTGAGATAATTTACTCCAAATCTCAGATATTTGGTAATTGTTATCCTCGAAACTACTCGATTTTTAATCCAATAGCCTGTGAACTACAGTGGCCACCCTAAACAAGTCCGGGATAACAAGCTCGGGTACGAAATTAGGGGTTCATTAGTGGACTAGCCATAACAAGTCCTTAGAGGTGCAGAAAATTGTAAGCCAAGTTTGTAGGAGGAAAAAAAGGTTTAAAAAAAAAAAATCAAAAGAAACGGTGTAGTAGAAAATGTATTCGAAACAGCTGCATGTTCCTCTTGTTCGATTGATACATACCATGTTCCTCTTGTTCAGTTTAAAACGTATTTATGATCAGTTGCATATTTTGATTCCTTTAATCAAATGAAATTGTGTTGCTACCATGGCTCCGTCCAAAAGTATACAAAAAGCCTGAATCCACTAAGACGAGAAAAATCATCTTTTTTTTTCTTTTTTCTTTTGGAGGTAAAGGAAGAGTGTACTTGAGATAATAGGATTAGGAACATGGGTTACCGTTTTGCAGAAATCTAGAAAGAGGTAATTTTCCCCCAATATTTAGTGCTTGAATCTTACTTTTCGAACAAATTATAGAAATATTCATACTGTCGTTGACAAGATGATTTCTGTAATTCAAGGACCAGCTTGTATGCTAAAAGATTCTTTGTATTAGAAGCAGAATCTACAGGTTATCACCAAAATGAGGGGTGCAAAAGATGCACCATTTGGTCATGAGAGGCTATCTGAGGCGTTTATGAACACAAAAATCAGTAATAATGTTACAACACGGAATTCTATTAAGAAGCTTCTGTAAGGAGAATTTCAAGTACTATCGATTTTGTTACTATAAGGGTAAAGAAACCTGACAAGAAGATCAAAGAGTGCGACAAATATACGTACCTACATAGATTTGTCATCATTCCTCATTTCATAACCCTACACTCGAATCTTCATTTGTTGAGTCTGGCTTGTTGGAGGTTGCAGATTCTACCCCATTATCTGATTGTCCAGCAGAACCATTTGTTATTGGAATTATCTCTGATGTCGATGATTTGGGTGCATATCCTTGTGTCTGCATAGCCTCACGAGCAGCTTTCTCTTTAGCCCGTCTAGCTCTTTGTAGAACGTCCTCCTGTCAGTGTCAAATGCTTAAAAGAACTCACTTTCTAGAAGGAAATAGATATATTCTCCAATGGCATGGGAATAAAAATAAATCAAGATTTACTGTCAGAAATTTTGTCCAATAAGTAGACTCTGTGCTGACAACAATAGCTCCAATCTCGGGAAAATAACATTTTCTAACCAGTAACAGCAAATTGATCATGTTTCTGTAGGGGCCAGGTGTAACAGAAAAGGAAAACACCAGATAAATTTTAGAGATTGTAACATCTGGTCAATAGCAGTGAAGTCCTTATGTCACTTTCAATTTACAAACTCAGAGGATGCCAACTACAAACTACAGTAGCAAGTGCTTTAACATTCACAACTGCCCAGGTTATATCATTTGCCACTTATGGATCTTATTTCCTTTCATGTTATCTAGCATATTTCAGACTCCAGATAAGGTGAATAAATACTCAAAAGCAAGAAAACTAAGACGCCAAAAGAAGTGTAGAAAGAAACCACTCTCATCCACACGAGTTTAAAGGGGTCTTCATCATAAGCCAGAGCTATCCAGGGCAAGCACAGAAGCAAGTTAGTGGAAAGCATGAAAAAGATTGTATCAACTCATTTCTTCTTAGACAGCATAACGAACAAGACCCGGAGAATGACAAACATCTGATAATCCTACCCAAAAATTGCCAGCTTGATATAGATCTTAACTATGTGCAGTCTTCTACAGTCATGTTTGTTCTGTTCGTCCATTTTCTTTCGGTTATATGAGAAACAATTAGTAGGACCAAATGCCAGTAACTGTTGCACAAAATTCAGAATATTGATGATTAACTTTCTTGCCCATTTCTTGGGATGTGACAGCCTTAACATGAACAAGAAGTTAACTTCTGCCGTATGATAAATAGCTCTGGTTTTGAATGCCTAACTTCAACCGAAATAGTAACAAAAGAAAGTAGATTCTCAAGAATATTTCTTCTCATTAAGCATAGTTATGTATTACTTTGATTCCTGAGTTTTATACAATAAAGAAAATTTCAACATGACAAAGAACCACCTCAGACTCAAGGAAATATGATAGTTTAAACAAACTCTAATTTCTGTCATCCATTGAGGTCCTCTAGTCACTAAGATGCAGACAGGGGCCTCACTTCAGCCTCAAAATTAACAAAAGAAAGTAGGTCCTAAAGATATTTCTTCTCATCAAGCACAGCATGTACACTATAATATTAAAGTTTTACACAACTATATCTCAACATGGTAAAGAACCACCTTAGACTAAAGAACTTTGGATAGCATAAAGACAATCTAATTCCATTATCCATTGGCTCTAGCCACTAAGATGCAGACAGGGGCCCAGTGCTTACCACCTTCATACTTTCTACAAATTCGGAGGATGTCAATATACAAACTACGTCTCTAAGCTCTTTAAAATTCACAACTCCCCAAGCTATATCATTTGCTACACATGCATCCTATATCCTTTCACGTAATCTAGCATATTTCAGACTCCAGATAAGGTCAATAAATACTCAAAAGCAAGAAAACTAAGACGCACACAACTTTAAAGGGGTCTTCATCATAAGCCAAAGCTATCTAGGGTAAGCACAGAAGAAATTTTAAGAAAATCAATGAATAAAGATTATATCAACTCATTTCTTCTTGGACAGCATAACGAACTAGACCCCGAGAATGACAAACATCTGATAATCCAACCCAAAATTCCTAGCTTTTTATAGATCTTAACTATGTGCGGTCTTCGACAGTCATGTTTGTTCTGTTCTTCCATTTTCGTTCTAGTTACATGAGAAACGATTCGTAGAATCAAATGCCAGTAACTGTTGCACAACATTCAGAATATTGATGATTTACTTTCTTGCCCATTTCTTGGATGTGACAGCTTTAACATGAACGAGAAGTTAACTTCTGCGCATGATGAATAGCTCTGGTTTTAAATGCCTAACTTCAACCTAAATAGTAACGATAGAAAGTAGAGTCTCGAGAATATTTCTTCTCATTAAGCATCGTATGTATTACTTTGATATCTGAGTTCTACACAGCAAACAAAATTTCAACATGACAAAGAACCACCTCAGACTCAAGGAATTATGATAGTATAAACACAATTTAATTTCTGTTATCCATTGGGGTCCTCTAGTCACTAAGATGCAGACAGGGGCCTCACTTAAGCCTCGATATTAACAAAAGAAAGTAGATCCTAAAGATATTTCTTCTCATCAAGCACAGTATGTATACTATAATCTTATTTACACAAAGCAATAGCTCAACATGGTAAAGAACCACCTCAGACTAAAGAAATTTGGATGGCATAAAGACAATCTAATTTCTTTTATCCATTGGGGCCCTCTAGCCACTAAGATGCAGACAGGGGCTCGGTTCTTTCATAAACTTTGTCAAAGATATGAATGAAAAGGAAACTACAGTTTATATTTGATATGTAATTTACACAAGTTCTTAGCTACCAATAGGCAATTAAGTTAGTAATAAACTTTGACAAAGATAAGATGCAAAAAGAATTTGAAGAAGTAATTTTTTGTACAAACTCTACGCAACACAGGTTCACTCAGTGGTTAAATTAGTTTTAGCTAAAAGAAGAAAAACATTAAATGACAATATTCTCAAGGTTAATAAAGGTGTAATCTGGTTGCATAACTTCTCACCTGGAAATCCTGAATCTGTTTTTGTTGATCTGCTTGTAACCTTCCAACTGCACTCAGAATCTCCCCCATAGCAGACTCCAGTCGCTCATTAATTGACTCCGCAAGAGCCTTCCCAAGGAAAAAAGCATCAAGAACACTTTTACTGTCATTTTCACCTGAGAAATCAAGGAACGTCCAAATCAATGGAGAGGGAATAATCTTTCATCGGAGAATAAAAAAACTCCATCTGTAAAACTATTACTTACTCCATTCTACCATCCCAAAAGTCCAAAAAGGGTATCACAAAAGCAAAAAGTTCAAAGCTTGACAAAACAGAAAAAGAGGCTAGGAAAAAGAGATTTAAAAAATGGTAACATGCATGAAAATTTGCGGAATAGCATTACCACGCATGGAGAAAAGACAGCAATAGAAACAACTGTAAAGATTCAGCTAAGTAAACCATGGTAGTGAAATCTCTTTATGAATCAAGCTTTGGTATGATAAACAATAATCCATTTCTCATCTGAAGTAGCTGCAGTTAACTAAGCCTCTTCATATGATAACAACCACAATATAGCATGATGTTCAAGTCTGAAACTAGTACTCCCTCAACCCCGAAATGATTGTCCAGTTTGGATTTTCATTTTCAACACAAACTGTACTGAAATTGAAAACTAAAACAAGACATTCATCTTGGGACAGAGGGAGTATTTATTTTATCAAGAAAGAAGCTCTACTGTGAGGACACAGGGACCTCAGAGGAAAACATATCATGACTCAAATTTGAAAACGGGTTTGCTATTTATGACTAAGCATTAAAATTACGGAAACAAGAAAAATTAAAAGAAAATTCCATAGTGGAAAGGAAAATGAGTTTCAGTTAAATGCTGAAGAAATTGTTCTAACACCAGAACAATTTTATCTCCTATATGGCTAATTGATGGATGAAGCCCAACGGTTTTGTTAACTTACTTTCAAAAGAACTTACTTGCCAAAGATTTGTGCAGCTAGTACGATTATCAGTAAACCATAGTACTCTTATCAAGACTGATGGAAAGGAGAACCTTATGTCGGATTCTGAATACAGACAAGCATAATGCCTTCATATATAACACTTCCAAAAAGGTTTACTGAGAATTCAGAAGTACTCATTCTGCAAGCAGCATCAGCACAAATATTACATCGATGGCAGACCTATCTATGGCATAGTACTCCCCATATCTATACAGCTTAAGCAGAGCTATTTGAACAGTTTATATTGCATACTATGTTGATTCAGGCCTACCAGTGTAGGTTATATTGACACAATGGAACCTATGCTTGCGAAACTGTATTAAATGTATATGGAAGAAACGTCTTTCATTGACATAGGAAAAGTAGAATTTGCTCAACCACATCAATGATATCACTATAGGTGTTTGCTTAAGCGTCATTGTAAAGGTTTCAGGCTCCAACTTTCAGTCACACAATCTAAAAGACAGGTGACCCATCGATGAAACAAATGCAGAAATCACTTTCTAGATTCTAACAAATGCAAAATATACGCTCAAATAAATAATCTAAGCCCATATGGAACAAATTAAGTTACCAATCAGTATCTCTTTATTGTAACAGATTCCACAAGCCGAATGGAAACCACTTCTTATTAAGGGAGGAAATAAAAAATTAAAAAAAAAATCAAAACAAAACAAAACTAAAAGTGCAAATTCAGATGGAAAAATCAAACCTTGACCAAAAGGGCCACCTGGGCTAGAACTACAATTACACCTTAATCGGGTTCTCGAATGAATTACGGACTTGTTATTACACGATTTCAAATCCCACGAAAGGGCAGAGTGGTCTGTAATATTACTTGATGAACCCCGTGATTGTGAAACTGTACAAGATTTGATGGAGGATTTAGAAAGGACGCGAGGTGGGATTACCACCGGTGATGATGGTGGGGATGATATGAGTCCCCCCTTCATTTTCAAGCTTCTTTACCTTATTGTATGCAACCAGAAGTAAAAATTGGACAATCGATGGTTATGATTATGAGAGAGGAGCTTGTGGTTGATAAACCTCGGAATGAGGACTGAGGAAGGGATGAGGAATAATTTGGACAGTAAATATTACAAAGTTCCCTTCCTAATTTTGCAGTGAACTCGCATGTTTGGGAACTTAATTTCAACCAATGTTTGTCTGTACTAAGGATACTACTATCACCACAGCTATCACATGATTCATATTTGTCCCGAGAGAATATAAAATCTGGCACATTCCGCTGGGGAGTTTTTATGTGTTGCAACGATTAGATTGGATCATCTATGAGATTTTGGGGATTATTTTTAGACTAAAATGTCCAAATGGTCACTTACATTTGAGCCTATTTGAATTTACGTCCCTAACATTAACATTTCAATATCGTAGTCCCAAGTATTATGATTTCGCACTTTTTTTTGTCCCATTTCACTGTTTCCGGCTGTTGACATGCCGGAATCAGGAGTATTTTTATCTTTTAATTTAATTTGAATTTTTATTAAAATTTAAATATTATAAATATTTTAAAATTAAAATTTTATTATTTAATTGTTAAAATATTATTTATTAATTAAAAATATTAATATACACTTGAAATTTATCATTATTTTCAAAATTACTTTTTTCATTTACTATTTACTTTAAGTACACAGTAAATAATAATTATGTTGCACTTTTAACTTTGAGCCCACTATAACTTACAAAATTTATCAAGTTAAATTCAATTATGTTTTAAAAAAAAAACAAAGCAAAACTAAGTTTTTTTTACTCAACCGCTACAGTAAACCGTAAATGGTAATTATGTTGCATTTTTAACCTTAAGCCCACTGTAACTTAAAAAATTTACTGAGTTACAGTAAATAATTTAAAATTTTTTTTTTTACAAAAAAAAAAAAAGTAAAACCAAGATTTTTTTTAACTTTGACCGCTACAGTAAACCCTAAATAGTAATTATAATACACTTTTAACCTTGGGCTCACTGTAACTTAAAAAATTTACCGAATTACAGTAAATAATTCAAAATTTAATTTATTTTTTTAAAAAAAAAAGAAAAACCAAAATTTTTTTTACTCTGACTGCTACAGAACCCTAAATAGTAATTATGTTGCACTTTTAACCTTGGACCCGCTGTAACTTAAAAAATTACCGAGTCACAGTAAATAATTAAAAATTTAATTTTTTTCTAAAAGAAAAAGGAAAACCAAGATTTGTTTTACTCTGACCGCTACGTTGTTTCTTTAACCTTGGACCCACTATAAGTAATTGACCGCTACAGTGAACCCTTATGTTGGACTTTTAAGGTTGGACCCACTGTAACTTAAAAAAATTTACTGTGTTACAATAAAAATTCAAAATTCAACTGTAGCGGTCAAAGTAAAAAAAAAAAAAAATCTTGGTTTTGCTTTTTCTTTTTTTTTAAAAAAAAATTGAATTTTGAGTTATTTACTGTAACTCGGTAATTTTTTTAAGTTACAGTGGGTCCATGGTTAAAAGTGCAACATAATTACTATTTAGGGTTTACTTTAGCGGTCAGATTAAAAAAAAAACGGTTTTGCTTTTTCTTTTTTTTAAGAAATTGAATTTTGAATTATTTACTGTAACTCATTAAATTTTTTAAATTACAGTGGACCCAAGGTTAAAAGTACAACATAATTACTATTTACTTTGACTTAAGGTAAATGATAAATGAAAAATTAATTTTGAAAATAATGTAAATTTTATAATTTTATAATAATATTTTTAATTAATAAATAATATTTGAATAATTAAATAATAAAACCTGAATTTTAAAATATTTTTAATAATTTAAATTTTAATAGAAATTAAAATTAAATTAAAAGATGAAAATACCCTTGATTCCGGTATGTCAACGGCCGTAAATAGTGAAATGGGACCAAAAAAATTTGAAAACATAATGTTTGTGACTACGATATTGAAATGTTAATGTTAGGGACGTAAATTCAAGTAGGCCCAAATGTAAGGGACCATTTAGACATTATAGTCTTCTTTTTATGTGTTGTGTTTTAATTATTAGATGTACCAACTGTTGTCTTTTGCGTTGCAGGGGTCTTGTAAGCACGGGAAAATAATAGGGACCAAAATAATAAATTAACAAAAATTAAAGAAAAGTATGTAATCATAAAAAATTAAAAAAAAAATTAATAATAATAAAACATACTCCTTGCGACCCATAATTATTGTCCAGTTTGCCCAAAAAAATTTGTCTCAAAATTATTGTCTAATTTGACTTTTTATTAAGTAAGTTACACATATACCCTTTTATCACAAAGAACAATTTAACTCAAATCTTTTTACTCCAGTAATCCCAACGTAGAACACATCACAAAAGTGAACAACCCGAAAAAAAAGCTATTCACCGACGGCCCAAGCGGTGGTGAGGATGACGATGCCCGGTGATAATCGAAACAGATTATAGAGAAGGAATTCCGGCAAACTGAAATTGCAATCGATGAAGCGGTGGTGAGATGACGCCGCCGGTGATTATCGGAACAGATTGTGGAGAAGGACTTCCGACAAACTAAAATTGTAATCGATGAATTTAGAACGAACTTGAATAATCAATGGAGGAGCACCAAATTTGAAGGTCACAGGAAGAATTTTCTCCAAATTCATGTGAATTCATATGAAAATTTTGTTCTATTAACACAAGTGATGATCTTACCGAAGAAGCTCTTTCAGATCTGCGCCGACGAAGAAACTTTCTGGTGAAATGTCTTCATAATCACTAAATTGAAATTTAAAGGAAAAACAAATTCTCCAAACTCGAATCTTTTCAATTGAGCTTTGGTTCAATTATAGATAGGTGGTTTACTGAAGAGCAAGTGAAGAAGGCGTTCTGCATTCTGGAACTTTTGGACTCGGAAGCTAAAGTGAAACAGGATAAAGGGGGAGTTCTTTCACGTCGGTGTAACTAATTTATATGTAGGGGTATATTTGGAAAGTTAGGGTAAAAATTGATTAGATTTGACCAAAAATAAAATCTTATATCTTTGGCAAACTAGAAAAAAAATTATGGGACGGAGGGAGTATTCAATTATTCATGCAACAACCGAAGGATTGGTGCAGAGAGGATTCTTACAAGACTGGACCGATGCTTAATCAATGAAAACTGGTTAAATGAGTATGAAAAATAGTTATGTTACTGTGTTACAAGCTGGGGTGTCAGATCATACACCCTTGCTTATTAATATGGGCAATGTGAATATGCAGAAGAAGCTAGCTTTCAAATTCTTTAATATGTGGAGTAAATCTCCACAATAGAAAGAAGTTGTTCAGCAGGTTTGGGATGCAGATGTTCAAGGTTGTAAACAATACCAGCTTGTTAGGAAGCAGCAGATTCTAAAGAAGCACTTGAAGAGGCTGAATCAGGAGCACTTCTTGGACATTGATAAACAGGCAGTAGAGGCTCAGGCAAACCTTCGGAAAATTTAAGTAATGTTGGAGGTAAATCCCTTGGATCCCTCCTTGCAAGCTCAGGAAAAACAAGCAACAGAGCAGTTAGTGATCAAATCAAAGGAAGCCATGAGTTTCTGGAAACAAAAGCTCAAAGAAACCAGATTAAGGAGGGTGACAGAAATACGGCATACTTTCATGCCTGTATTAGAGAGAAAAGGATCCAGAATAGAATACTGTCTTTCACTAGGGATGATGGAAGTGTGGAAAATGAGTGGAATAAAGTGGAACAACATTTTGTTGAGTATTTTCAGCATTTGCTTAGTCAGGAGGAAAAACAAGTGCCAATATAGGAAGCATGTTTTGCATTTGGGGGAAGGTTGGCAAGCTAGCAGCAAGTATCCTTAATCAAGGACTTTTCTAGAGAGGAGGTTCGAACTGCGCTTTTCAGTATCAGCAGCAAAAAGAGACCTGGACCTGATGGATACGGTAGTGGCTTTTATAAGCAAACGTGGGATATTATAGGTAATGACTTTACTGATGCTGTGCTTGAATTTTTTCATGCTGGAAAGTTGTTTAAACAGTTAAATGCAACTATTATATCTTTGATACCAACAAAATGATGTGCCAAAAAATGCCATGGAATATAGGCCGATATCGTACTATAATGCTATTGATAAAGTTATCTCTAAAATGCTTTGTAATAGAAACACTGCCTAGCCAGGTAGATGCAAATTAGAGAGCTTTCATTCAGGGCTGGAAGATTGTGCATAACATTCTTCTAACCCAAGAACTGATAAGGCTATATAGAAGGAAAGATGTTAAGGCCAGTTGTATGTTAAAAGTGGATATCATAAAGGCATTTGATAGTGTAAATTGGAACTTTGTTGAGGAATCGTTAGAAGGCTATGGGTTTCCTTTAAATTCATACAGTGGATCATGCTATGTGTGACTAGTTGCTGGTTCTCTCTCAACCTAAATGGTAGCAATGTCGGTTTCTTTGAGGGGAAACGTGGTCTAAGACAAGGGGATCCTATATCCCCCTTGATCTTTGTGATCGTAATGGAGTACTTAACCCTTTGTTTTAAAATGGCATTAAGTAGTTATCAGTTGCAGTTGCACCCGAAATGTGAAAAATTGAAATCCACTAATTTAGGATTTGCGGATGATCTGATAATTTTATGTAAGGCTGAGCTGCAATCTGTGAAGAAGGTTAAAGATATCCTTGATTATTTTGGAGGGACTACTGGTTTATACATTAATAAAGGGAAGTCAAATATTTACTGTGCTGGTATTACAGCTGCCTTGAAGGAGGAAATTTATCAATGTTTGGAGTTTGAAGAAGGGAGTTTTCCTATAAGATACTTGGGGCTGCCAATGTCTCCTAGCAAATGGAAAGAGATTGATTGTCAGCAACCAGTGGATAGAGTGACAAAAAGGCTGCAGAGCTGGAAATCGAAGCACCTGTCTTACGCAGGAAGATGCCAATTGATCAATGCGATAAGCTCATTGTATGTCTATTGGGGAAATACCTTCTTACTCCCCAAGAGTGTTGTAGCTCAGATAACTAGATTGTGTCGGACTTTCCTCTTGGGGAGCACAGAAGCAGGTAGCAAGATGGCTTTAGTGGCTTGGAATCAGGTATGTAAACCCAAGAATGAGGGTGGCCTGAATGTCAGTGACCCTGTCGTGTGGAATGAAGCTGCAATTGCCAGGCAAATGTAGGATATTGCAGAATGTAAACAGATACTTTGGGTTAAATGGGTGCATGGATATTACTTGAAGGGCCAAAACTTGTGGACTTATGAACCTCCAGCAGACAGTAGCTGGCACTGGAAGCGTATGATGAAGATCAAAAGCAGACTGCGAAATGATATAGAAGTTGGCATCTAGA